CTAAAAGCGTCGGAATCTTCTTCTTTTTTTTTGCCTTTTCTTAAATAATAAATAGATGAGTTTCTTTTTTTTTTTTGTTAAATAGATGATTTTCCAATTAATATTTCTGGCTCGTAACATTTTTCGTTTTGGTCTGTGTCTGTCGGGTGTATATAATATGAATGCGACATTGAAGTTTTAGTGTTTCTGTTTACATATATCTTATATTTCCCGCCATCAGTTTGTACTATACGACAGCCTCATGAGGAGCAACTGCAAATTTAAAAAGCTGAAAAGCTGAAAAAGAGTCAAAAATAAGATGAAGGAAGAGACACTTGAATCACGAAATGTTTATATTTGGTTTGAAATCAAGCATAAAATGTAATTCTTAAAATAATGAGATTACACCTAACTTTAGCCAGTTGGCATAACAACAACAAAGAAGGGACAACTTTAGCCATGTGCAAATATATAACTTTAGCCATGTAAAAACACACAAGTTCGCCCTAATTTTTTCTCCCATGCACGCTTCCCAAGTCCGCCTCCTCCTTCTCCGACTGTTGCTCTGCTCCGATTTCGGAATGAACTTCCTTCACCGGCGGTTCCTTTCCTGAAATTGGAGCGCGGCTTCCTCTTTCCCGGGCTCTGCTTTGGCGTCCGATGAATTTGGCTCTCTTTCCGCCGGTGCTTTCTTCATCGGCGAGACTCTTTTGGTTCCTGTTACTTCTCGGTTGTGCTTGTGCTTCTTCTCCGGTGACAGAATTGACGGGATTTGCAGAGTTCTCGAGGACGGATCTCTCGCCTCTCTTCTTCAACTTACCGGAGCAGTACGCTGAGCCCTTCTCACTCAGAGTGAGCATCTTTACGGCGATGCCGAAACCTCCACCAAAACCTCCGGATCTACAGATTTGCCTTCGACCCTTGGTTCTTTACCCTTCACACTCATCTCAGCTGTCATCCTTCTTTATCTCCATCACTCTCCCAGATCTATCGTTCCTATCCACCATCTCCTTAAGCTTTGGCCAATGGAAGCTTCTCGTCCTACTCCTCGCCGGTGAAGGGACATCGGGATCTTGGATTCCCGGTTGCGTAAATTTGGACATCTTGGTCCGGCGTTGTAAAATTTTGGGATTGAAGCATGGTTTCTTCGGAGGGAGCTCTCTCTCGAAGCTATTTCTTTCAGTCCGCCATCGTTTGGCTCCACTGCGTGATTCAATTTCAGTTCCGCCGGCTTCATTTCCGGCGACTTATCAGAAGTTTAAGCTTATTCCCTTGGCGTACCCTCGCAGCTCCGTCCATGTGACGTGTTTTGTCTTTGGTGCTTCGTCGAGACTTTGCCATCGTTTGGCTCCACCGCGTGCTCCACTTTCAGTCCCGCCGGTATCATCTCCGGCGACTTATCAGAAGTCTAAGCTTCCTTCCTTGGCGTACCCTCCGAGCAGTTCCGTCCGGGTGACGTGTATTGTCTCATGTTCTGGTGCTTCGTCGAGAATTTTCATCACCACACCAGCTCCATCATTGGATACATCTTTAGGCGTGTGGCTTTGTGAACCTTCCTCTGTCGTAACAGAGAGAACTTCCTCCCTATGGGAGAGATCACGTATTCCATTTTCCTCCTTAGAGGAGAGAATCTTACCTCCATCGAGCTCTCTATCAAGTATGGAGTTGCTTCCCTCGAGTTCATTCTGAGGTATGTTATCCAATTTCTTCACCGACTTGTTTTCCTATGTAGCTCCTTCTACGGAGTTAGAAGAAGCAACCGTTTTCGTCTCGACGATTCTTGGAGGTGAAACTTGGTTTTCAACGTCATCTTTAAAAATAACTAAATTTACGAACTTCGCATTGCCATGTTTGTTCCACCGACGCATCTGAGCCTTGCTTTGGATCTGTTGTCTTCTTCCTTTGATAGGAACCTCTATGCTTTAATTTCTAGATGCTCATGTTTATTTGCTTTAATCAAAAGAGGATGTCATATTCCCTCTTGTTGTAGTTTCAAGGTTTAATCTAATGAAAAAATGTTTGAACAAAAAAAAAAAAAAAAACTTTTGTAAATTTACATTTCTGTTGAACCCACAAGGCCACAATACTCAAGAGGGTCATGTATCATTAAGCCAGTCTTAATTTGATCTCGATTAGTAATTAATTCGTAGAACGACAGATTAATCATATAACTCTTGTATTATGTATATATGTCATTGTATAAGGCGAATGGTTGGAGAGCTCCCATCAATCGTACCACCAATAATAATTTAGGATACAATTTTTGTTAGAGACGTTATTCATAATATTTAACTTCACAATTGTAGTATAAAAATGCATATCGATCATAGCTTGATTCTTTTTACCATGCGTGGTCAATTATATACAGTGTTATAAGTACTGGTGCAACATTTCTCTTTGAAAATTCTTCATGTGTATTAAAATTAGAAAAAAACACCAAAAAAAACCAGAATTATGATTAATCTATTAGTTAAACAAACAAAAATAAACTTACAACTCTCACTCGAAGCTCTTTGAGGTGAAGATGTTCCATCCTGCTTGTGTTAACAAGTGGCCTTGGATAACAGAGAACATAGTTCTTTTTATCCACGTGAGACCGGTAGTTCATGGCATACATGCCAATTGATTGCTTCATGTATTACGGGTGACTGTTTAAATAAAATTTCAAACACAATTAAAAATTAAACTGAAAGCTTAATAAAATTTACAACAAATATCTTGTTATGGTTAGGAAATGGTATCATTGATGTAGTTACACCCAATATCAGTGTTGAATGTAAGCACACTAAAACAACACATATGAGACTTCCAAATGCAGAAAAATAAAATTAGAATCAAAGAAAAGTGGTAGCTATGCAAAAAACGACCTTATGTACATAAGTTTTTAACTCATGCGTCAGGATTCTGAAAACCAACATGCACAAAATCTGAACAATAAATCGATCACTCCAACACTCTAAGTAGCAATCATTTCTCTAGGCATTTCCCACAATAATCTACACTCATAAAAAGCATATTAATTCATTTAGTGAGATCTAAACCTCTACAACTCATCCTAACACGTGACGTGAACCAAATTCCACATTCTAACTTATAAACAAAACCATTCCATGTGTGAAAATTCCAAGAATATCCAAAGTGAGAAACCGCAATTCTGAAGAACAAAATATTCCAAACTGATAAAACAACTATGACTTCAGAAAAAGGTTCACCATAATGAAGATGAGATGATCATTACCTCAAGAGTGATTGCAGCGATTTTTAAAAAAAAAACACGACTAGTTAATAAATTTAGTAGCAAATAGTCAATACATAAGTAGATTTGTTATTTCTTTAATTGACTGTATTGCGATTTTTTTTGATGTGGTGGGGACTGTGTTCGATGCTTCCTCGATGATAAAGCTTAAGCTTCCGATGGCTATTCTCTACGTGTTATTATTCGACCTCTTCAAATAGGCTTTTCTCATAAATTTGAACTAATCAAGTGGAAAATACAAAGAGAAAATTTTCACTCAATAGCGCTAGTTATAGTGTTATCTTTCACTCCACATTTTTTTTTTCACCTTTTTACTCTAAGTTTCAATTTTCCTTTACTTTCATTTCTTCTTTCATCTATTACTCCATATTATGCTATTCTCTATCATTCACACCCTATTTGATTTTTATCGAACCATTTCTCCCATAAAAGCTGAAAGAGAGTCAAATATAAGATCAAGGAAGAGACATTTTAAATCACGAAATGTAATTCTAAAAAAAATGGGATTACACCTAACTTTAGCCAGTTGGCATAACAACAACAACAAAAAGGGACAACTTTAGCCATGTGCAAATATATGTGTAATCACTCATCTACATCATTTGTAAATTTACACTTATGTTGAACACACAATACTCAAGAGGGTTCATGTATCATTATACCAGCCTTATTGTGATCTCGATTAGTAATTAATTCATAGAATGACAGGACGATTAGTCATATGAGTCATATATGTATACATGTCATTGTATAAGGCGAATGGTTGGAGAGATCCCATCAATCGTACAACGAGCATTAATTTAGTATACAATTTCTGTTAGAGTTATTCATATTTAATTTCAGAATTGTAGTATATATAGAAATGTATATCAATCATAGCTTGATTCGTTTTCGTATACGTGGTCAATTATACAGTGGTATAGTCGTGCGACATTTCTCTTTGAAAATTCTACATGCTTATTAAATTAGAAAACGAAAATGCATAAAAAAAAAGCATTATGAAATATTCTAGTTAAATTGAAATAAAATTTGTATTACTACGTATGTTGATGGTATCTTTATACTGTATACAATGATATGTTGTCAGTAGTCAGTATACACGTACTGTAATTTTGTGACCACAAATTTTAGATACGTGAATAATTTGTCATCAACGTGGCCCATGTTAAAGTATTCCACCTTCGTCAACACTTCACCAACCATTTTTATGCCTTGAAAATGACTCTCTCCTTTTTTTGTCAACACTAAAACACTATTGTGTTACTTTCTTGCTACTCAAAATAAAGTAAATCAAACATTATTTTGAATTATACATACATAACCGTCATTCGCTTTTTAACAAAAATTAAGAAACCTGACTCCATTTTCTTTTCGTATCACAGGGTATACATTATTTATCTCAAAAAGGTATAAAAATGGAAGCATAAAGAGAAAGCAAAAGAAGAATAAATACATATAAATAAAGCAAATTCTGCAACTTTATCTATACAGCATTTCTAGATTTGATAATACAGAACATTCACTCTCAGTAATAAAAAATAAAGAACAAAATCATCATTTGCTCACTAAATTAGTATTATCATTTACCATCATACAATGCTTTCACACAACACTCTGCTTAATTAAACCAATTATGTCTCTAATGATATTAATTAACATGAAAAAATAGACACTTACCAGACAAGCAGACCCCAAGAAAAGGTGAGAGATACTTCACCTTCTTCATTTCCTCTTCTTCTTCTCTCTCTATTTCTCTCTCGCCTCAATGGGTTCTACAGGAAACCCTAATCCATGGGATTCATACGATTCATACAGAGACTGTTCCAAAGGAGTATGCAGCGTCTACTGTCCCGAATGGTGTTACGTCATCTTCCCTCCTCCTCCTTCCTTCTTCCTCGACGACGAAGACGATTCATCCTCCTCTGATTTCTCTCCGCTCCTCATCGCACTTATCGGAATCCTCGCTAGCGCCTTCATCCTCGTCAGCTACTACACACTAATCTCCAAGTACTGCCACCGCCGTCGCAACAGCTCCTCCTCCGCATCCGGAGCGATCGGCCGCGATCACGGAATCTCTTCATCGTCCGTCGCCGATGCTTGGCAGGGAAACAACGGAGCTCCGAATACGAACGCGCCGATCGGAGATGGACTCGACGAGTCTCTGATTAAATCGATTACGGTTTACAAGTATCGAAAGGGCGATGGATTTGTGGAATCTTCCGATTGCTCTGTTTGCTTGAGCGAGTTTCAGGAAGACGAGAGTTTGCGATTGCTACCCAAATGCAACCACGCGTTTCACGTCCCTTGTATTGATACTTGGTTGAAATCTCACTCCAACTGCCCTCTCTGCCGCGCCTTCATCGCCGGAATCAACGCCACCACCGCCGTCGAGACTGTTTCAGTATCCAATCAGCCGATCTCCGTTACGGAATCAGGTAATCGAGGCGAAGTAACCGCGGGGATCAGCTCGATTTCGAACGTTCTCAATCACCAGGCTGGAGATTCCGTCGTCGTTAACTTAGATCTAGAAACCAGATCTCGGAGTGAGACGGTTAGTAACGTTAACGGCGGATCGACGCCGAAACCGCCGGAATTTCAGGGGTCAAGAGACGGAGAAGAGCAAGTGAATCGGAGATCGGCGTCGTTGAACTCAGGCGGTGTGGTCTTGATCGCCGATATATTACGGGAGACTGAAGACGAGGAATCAGCGGGTGAAGGAACTTCTCGGCGGGTAGAGGAGGGTGACGGAGAGAAGACGCCTCCGCCGTCGGGATCGGCGGCGAATCAAACAAGCGGAATATCGAGTTTTCTGGTTCGGAGTTCGATGGCGATGAAGAGATCCGTTTCGACTGGGAAATTTGTCCTCTCGAGTTACGATAGAGCAAGAAATTACCGTTTACCCAATTGAGTGAGAGAGAGAGAGAGAGAGAGAGAGGGAGAGGTTAATATTAGGAGATTTGAATTTATTTATGAAAAAAAAGTCAAAAATGTTTATTGGCTTTTAAATTTTTTATTTACACCAATCAGAATCATTGTTAAACCATTTGAGAACAGAATTTTATATATGTGTAATCAAAGAGTTTTGAATTTACAGCCCATTTTATTCTGATCTGCATGTTCTTAGTTTTCATGATTTGTCAGACATTGATACTCCTAAATCGAGTGTTTGCGTATTATACGCCTCACTCTACTTGATATTAATCCTCTTGAAATCATTGTAAACATAATTATCACAAGGAGTTATAATTTTAAACACTCATCATATCTAGCTTTTCTTTTCGCAATGGCTCAAAAAAGAAGAATTACTCAAACTCAATTCTTATAGCTAGTATCTTCTTCTTTATCAAAAAAGACATGATCATCATTCATCATCAAGCCAAAGATTAGAAGAACGAGGCAAAACCGCAAAAGTGACGAAAGAAGAAGATCCTCAAGGAAGAATGTTTCGATGAGCATATTCAAAAGTGCGAAAGGTTGTTTTGAGGCAAATTGGTGAGGCAAAATTCAAAGGAAATTTTGGTGACTTCAGGCATTCTTGTTGCAAAACGCTTAATGGGCTTGGTGATAATTGTTGGCCCACTTTCTTTATTAGATAGATACTAAATCTATTTTACCCTCCAAAGTATACAAAAAATGTCTCGTTTAATAATAACACTTGCTTCATGAGACCATGAGTATAAATTATTTGCATCACACTGCTGACGTAAAAAGAACAAAAGGAACAAAACTGCTGAGGTAAAATTTATGATTATGATGGTTGGACTCTTGCCAACACAGCAATAAATAGGAAATTTTTTTTTTGACAAAAATCTAGAGGAAACTTATTTGTATTCCCTTTCTTGTATGGCACGTCACAAAATTGATCGAGTACAAGTTACTCTTTCGTTATGATGATCTTTTAACGATCTAATAAATAGACAATAAAACATAAATTGTCGTGGTACGATCATATGTTGGTGGACTGTCACAATCACAAGCAGAAAAACAATTTTGCTCCAAAAAATTATTAATATTCCACCTTACAAAAAAATTATTAATATTCCACCTTAATTGCAAGGTTATACGAAGATATATAAATTTATTTATGTTCCCACGACCAAACGAGTAAGTACTTATTTAAATTAGATGAAAAGGTATCAATTGGAGGATAAATGTTACTTAATCTATTGTTATTTATAAATGTTAATAAATCAAAACAATAAGTGTTATCTGTATTTAAGTTGGGTTAATTTGGTGAATATTCATATTGAGAGTTGATATTAACAATATAGCCATAGCAATTCTTTGGCTATAGTACATGAATACATTCATTAAGTTTTACCATAATTACCCCCTTAATAAACTTATACTATATAGAAAAATTAAATATACTTAGCTCTATTTTAAACCCAAAATCCATAACCCTATACCCTAAACTATAAATGTAAACCTTAAATAAAAAAATTATAAACCCTAAACCCAATAAACTAAAACCTAAACTCAATAAACTAAACCATAAACCAACAAACTAAACCCTAATTTAGAAAAAGAACCCTAACCCCAAAATAACCCTAAACTCAAAATACTAAACCCAAAACCACAACTAAAACCCCAAAAAATTGAAACCAAAATCCAAAAATATAAATCTGAAACCCAAAAACTAAACCCTAAATCAAGAAACTAAACCCTAACCCCAAAAAACTAAACCCTAAACCCAAAAAACTAAACCCTAATTTAGAAAAAGAACCCTAACCCCAAAATAACCCTAAACTCAAAGTACTAAACCTAAAACCAAAAAATAAAACCCCAAAAAATTGAAACCAAAATCCAAAAATATAAATCCTAAACCTAAAATCTAAACCCTAAACTCAATAAACTAACCCCAAAACACAAATATTTAGTTCGTACTATTCCATATAAACAAAGAACAAATAGTATAGAGTAGTTTCAAGGTTAATATGGACAATATTTCAGAAAATATGCTTGTATTCTAGCCATGGTTTTGATATGGTTACTTTGTTAATTTGCTTCTCCAATATGATTATTCATTATAATTTCCCATTTAAGTTCCCATGTATTCGCATATTCTTTGGTTGATAAGACATTATAAGCATATTCTCTTTTATATCCCTTGCATTAGTCGTGCATTATATTATCTTTGTTGACAATCTTCATTTCATGTTTCATGTCTGTTTAGAACTCACAAGTAAGTCTCATTCCTTATTTAGCTCCAACAAAATGACTATTTAAAAGAAGAAGAAGAAAAATGAAAAAGGAGAGAAAGAAAATATGTTTAAAGGTTAAGTGCCTTCAATTTCAAATAAGAAATCAATCAATCGGGTGAGAATGTCATAAAACGGAAAAGACCGTACACCAAATCTAGTTTGTTAAAGAGAAAAAAAAAAAACTAAAAGTTACAAATTTTGTTTTATCATATAAACCAAATTCCAATTTTTAAATTACAAAAATACCAGCCTTACCAAAAATGATCATTTTCCACTCTTAACTATCCTAACAAAATGGGTAAAATTTTCATATTCCTACTACTTTATTTTGCTAGTTGACGTTATACCAATTCAATTGGTAGTAATCATGACGTGCGTATATATGATTTGCCGTTTACTTCCTCATCTAAAACTCTTCTTCAAAATCTTCAATCTTTACATATACTTGTAAGAGTACATATGTTAATTATGTGAATATATATAATGTGTGTTGGTGTATATAAATTTATAAAGCTACGCACTCTTTCTTTCTCCTCAAACATTTAACAGTCACAACAGAAAAGAAACAGAATGAGCTCAGGATCATATCCGATCAAAACCGTCGTCGTTCTGGTCCAAGAGAATCGCTCTTTCGACCATACGCTCGGCTGGTTCAAAGAGCTAAACCGGGAAATCGACGGCGTCACGAAATCAGACCCGAAATCCAACCCGGTTTCCACCTCCGACCCAAACTCTCTCAGTGTTGTCTTCGGTGACCAGTCTCAGTACGTTGATCCGGATCCAGGTCACTCCATTCAGGATATCTACGAACAAGTGTTCGGTAAGCCATGGGACTCGGGTCAACCGGATCCAAATCCGGGTCAAGCTACCATGTCCGGGTTTGCCCAAAACGCGGAGCGAAACTTGAAAGGAATGTCCTCCGCAGTTATGAACGGATTTAAACCGGACGCTTTGCCGGTTTACAAGGAGCTGGTTCAAAATTTCGCCATATGTGATAGGTACGTGTACGTCGGTTCGCTTCACACCGAACTCTAACATTTTCAGTTGTCTCGGTTTGTAGAAAATTTCATGTTCTTAATCTTATGTGTTTGCCGGCAGGTGGTTTGCGTCGGTTCCGGCGTCGACGCAGCCAAACAGATTATACGTCCACTCGGCAACATCACACGGAGCAACGAGCAACGACCGGAAACTACTAATCGAAGGTTTTCCACAGAAGACGATATTCGAGTCGCTTGATGAAGCTGGTTTCACATTTGGCATCTACCACCAATTTCCTCCTTCTACTCTCTTTTATAGGTACTTTTTATTGTTTTTAAAATATTTATTAATCTTCTATAAGTTTTTCTTTCTTTTTCCTTATGCTTTTCACTTACTCCTTTTTAACAAAAAAATTGTTAAAGGTTTCGATTTTTATCTTTCATTTCGATATATGTAAACAAGAACATAGTTTTAGTCAAATTTAGACTTATTTCCGTTTAACAACCGTCTAAATTAAGTTTGAAAAATTTAAAGATAACTGTATAAACATAGGAAACATAAATTAATATTTTTACCAAAAAAAAACATAAACTAATATTTTTTATTTTATTTTTTATCCAGGAATTTGAGAAAGCTGAAGTATTTGACGCATTTCCACCAATACGGAATACAATTCAAGAAAGATTGCAAAGAAGGGAAGCTACCAAACTACGTCGTGGTCGAACAACGTTGGTTCGATCTATTGTCAACTCCTGCAAACGACGACCATCCATCTCACGACGTTTCCGAAGGTCAGAAGCTTGTGAAAGAGGTCTACGAGGCCTTGAGATCTAGCCCTCAGTGGAACGAGATCTTATTCATTGTAACATATGACGAGCACGGTGGATTTTACGACCATGTCCCTACTCCGGTCGACGGAGTTCCTAATCCTGACGGTCTCTTAGGACCTCCACCGTACAATTTTGAATTTAACCGGCTCGGTGTTAGGGTTCCAACGTTCTTCATCTCTCCTTGGATTGAGCCTGGCACTGGTAAGTACTAGTTAGGGATATATATATAAACTTCATTTGATGGTATATTATTCAGAATGCTAATATATTTAATATTGGTTCGATTTATGTAACAAGTACTAATAATTCTTGTAAAATGTGTAGTTATTCATAGGCCGAATGGACCGTACCCAAGATCACAATATGAGCATTCATCAATTCCCGCAACTGTCAAGAAAATCTTCAATCTGAAAGATTTCTTGACAAAGAGAGACTCATGGGCTGGTACTTTTGAATCTGTAATTACAAGAGATTCACCAAGACAAGACTGCCCTGGTATATTTTCGTATCTTCTATCAAATTTTGTGATTTCGAACATGACATATATATAATTATGTTTGGTTATCAGAAACATTATCAATCCCGGTTAAACTAAGATCGACAGTGGCAAAAGAAAATTCACAACTGAGTGAATTTCAAGAAGAGCTCGTAATAAACACAGCGTAGGTTATTATTACACCAGCAAACAAGCAAAAACAGATTTGAAAAACTTGCTGACAGATTGATGAACATTGCTTACGTTGATGAGCTTGAGGACTTGCAATTTAGGAGAAATATCGAGCATGGAGGTAAGTAGATTCCACCACGTTTCTTTATTTTCATGCAGCTCCAAAGATACCAGCTGATAGAAGAAACTCTCGGTAGGAAACTTAATCTATGCATGCATGAGGCAATATTACTTAATTAGTATTAGTACATAATCAATGTAATATAAAGACAACATTGGCCTAAATGGCCTTGTTCTTTCACAATTTTCCTCACAGCGATGTGTTTCCTTCTCTCCACAAAAACTAAAGCTGTTTTCTGCCGCAGCGATAAGTAAAAGGAAATGGCCCATAACAACAAGAAACTCAATATTTTTCAAGAAAACAACGAAACCTACCGCCAAGGGTGATATCTTCAAGGAAAGACGTGTGACTGAAGTAAGTGATCCCAAAATGTTCTCGTCGATTATTTTAGGGACAATAACAATAGTTGCTTCCTCCAAATCCGTCATCACATTCTCAATCAGAAAAAACCCTAGACCAGAAAACAATTTAATCTTCAAGTATTTCAAAGAAGGAGCATTGATCACATATCCCCAATTCTGATCTCCACCATGGCTGTTATAAATCGATAGCTTCTGTAAAGATGGCACCGCAATAGTGAAAGTATTCACAGTGTAGCTTATTGCATGTCGATGCACAGACAAAGTTCTAAGATTAGGACATCCAGATAAAAGGTTAACAACTGACTCATCGTCTTTGTAATCCACATAGTGAAGGTGTAGAGTTCTAAGGGATTTCAGACAAAGTTGAGAAGGTAAATCGATGAGAACTTTACACTTGAGTTTCAATATCTCTAGTGTTTTAAAGGTATACAAGCTTCTTGGAAAAATGAAGTCTTGCCCTATACTTTGAACTTCGAGTACCAGCTTAAGCACATGGAGTCCAAACGCAACTCCGATCAAGATTCCAGTATCCTCTGGGTTACATCTGTCTAGATGAACATTGAGATGCAAGCTCTGTAAAACCGGAGCTTTGTGTGAAAGCAAACACGTGCAGACATCCTTTGAAAACGTCCCGCGTGTAAGATTGTGATCCCGATAGTCAAACTTGAGTTCATGCATCTTCTTCCAAAGAGACTGCCATTGCTTAGATAAAACACTCGTGGCTATGGCATCTTTCATAGAAAGTAGACATAATATCTGCAGGATTAGGACCTCAGGCAACCCACTGATCCTGTCCGCATTGTTGTTTTTTTGGCTGTCAAGTAACAAAATCGAAACAACGAAAATACCACAAGTAACGTTTTTTGAGTTTTGGAGATTAAAAATTAAGAAACCCTAAGAACATAGAAAGAAACTGACCATCGTTTCATTGACGAATTATGTGCGTTACTGTTAAATCTGAATGATATACACCGTTAGGCCTGGGCATTTTACCCGGACCCGAAAGACCCGAACCGAACCCGACCCGAAAAAGATGGAACCGAACCGAACCGGAACCAAGACAAATACCCGATGGGTCCAAAAAATTTATACCCGAAAAACCGAACCCGAACCCGAACCGAACCGAGAACCGAATGGGTACCCGAAATATCCAAAATATAATTATATATCCAAAATATTAGTTATTTTTTAGACTTATAATAGCTTATAATACTAAAAATAACTAAAATTACAATTATAAATCTAATATAATAGTTATATTTAGAACAAAATAACCAAAATATTCGAAAAGTCCAAAAATATTTAGTAGAAGATGGATTATAACAAGATTTTATCGGTTATTTTGTAGGATTTTGGATATTCGGTTAAAAAAACCGATAAAAACCGACCCGAATCAGAACCGAATGAGATCCCAATAAGAACCAAAATTTGTATAAACCCGAACGGGTCCATAAAATTTAGCCCCGAACCGACCCGAACCCGACAGGAACCGAACCGAAACCGAACCGAAATTTTCCTAAACCCGAACGGGTCTAAAATTTAGCAACCCGAAAAGACCCGAACCCGAATAGAACCGACCCGAACCCGAACCGAAACCCGAACGCCCAGGCCTATACACCGTCACGAATACTTTTTTTTTTTTTTTTAAAAAAAAAAAAAAAAAATCTGAATGAATGATATACACCGTCACGAATACTTAAAACGCTTCTTCGACCTCCAAACGCTGATGGTGCTCTGGTCAATTTAGGATACCGTAGAGAGCAAGGCAGAGAAGAAGGTGGAATTAGAAGACGGATGTTACGGCTTCAGAAGAAGAGGTTGCGGCTGAGGAGAAGGAAGAATTAGGAGACGGATGTTAGGGTTTCGGAGGGAGATGTTGCGGCTGATTCGGCAGGGTACGATTAACTCGGAAGCATCCTCTTTATTGTCGTGCTCATTTAACCTAATTTATTCTGGTGGACCCCATTTAACCTACTCAAAGTTCACACAAAAAGTATAATATTTTTCTAAAAAACTGAACTAAATCACTTTTATGATAGATCCATTCTCTATGCAATTGCAAGGCACGAGAAATACGAATCAGTAGAGCAGACAAAGCTGGCATAGAAACGTCTCTCACACACGATGATTACTCTTTTTTCGAATATATACTGTTAAAATCCAAACAATCTTTTAATGACTATGAATCATAGTCTATGATGAGGTTTCGGGTTAAGTAATAAAATTGAGCTCTAAGGTACCAGAAACGCAATTCATCAGCGAAGCCTAATCATGCATAAGACGACTGGAGAGACGAAGAGTACACCGACTCACCAAACAATATGTGCATATAGAGAAACAGAAAAGGATGAGTTACATCATTGATCGAATGTCACAAGAGCTTAATAAAGCTAGGGGAGGGAGTAGATTTTAATCAAACATGTCGCTTATAGCTTAAAAAAAGTGAAATAAATCCTTAAAAAACAAATTGAAGTAACAGCATAGTTAAAACTTAAGAGTGATTTGTGAAAAACAACAAAGTTTCATTCGAGCAGACACAGCTGGCAAGATGATTTCGAAGCCCTGACAACACTTTCCAACTCCTTGACTATCTTAATTCTTTCGTCCGAGTTAAGGCCTTTTACGGAAAATGTTGCTCTCTTCAAACGATTTGCATTTCTAAGGATGTATTTGGCCACCTCTTTCTCCTCTTGTTGTATTTTTATATAGCCTTTCCACACAAAAGTCTCGAGATGAAGCAACAAACATTCAGGAACGTTCTTAGGTTGACTCCATTTCACACCAACTTTTTCATTTTGAGACCAATATTGCTGAAGACCAATGAGGGAGAAACATAATAAATGTACATTTTGTTAGATCATTAAATCTAAAAACCGATTTGCAACAACTGTTGAAAGATGAACTTGCAATGCTTACAACGGTGAGCTTGAGGACTTGTAATTTAGGAGAAGCATTGAGCATGAACGTAAGTAGATTCAACCAATCCTGTGTCATTGAAGGTAGCTCCAAATATACGAGCCGATAGAAGATGGTACCAGTAGGATATGTAATCTACGTATGATCGAGAGGCAGTATTATTAATACACATTATATGGAAAAAGGCAATAATAAGTAACCGATCAACTAATTGCAAGCAAAGCGTACCGGACTGTACGATACCAAGCAAAGGCGCTTGACTGAAGTAAAGGATCGCAAAGTGTAATCATAGATTTTACTATAGGTGTTAAGATAGGCCTCCTCCAGCTCGGGTGGATTCCCAATCAGAATAGAACCAAAGGCTATCTTCCCTACAACCTCCAAGTATTTCAATGAAGGAGCCTTTATCACATAGACCACTTCACCAGTGTCCCTAATTATTAGTCTCTGCAAGGACGGGACATCAATAGTGAATGTCTTCACATCCGATTTTGGACATTGGATAACCTCCAGATTTTCGAGATGAGAACAACCAGATAAAAGGTTGACAACTGATTCGTCGTCTTTGTATCTCACCCCTTTAAGGTGTAGAGTTCTAAGAGACTTCAAACCAACCGGAAATGGGACATCTATCAGAATCTGTTGATTGAGTTCCAAGCTCTCTAGTGTTTGACTGTTATACAAGATTCTTGGAAACCTGAATAAATTTCCAGAGTAATATTTCCAAAAGGACACATGGAGTTTCAGTTCACGCACGTGAAGTCCAAACGCAACTCCCAATAATATTCCAATATCACAATCCAGACTAATTTCATCACACAAATTAATGCTGAGAGACAAGCTCTGAAGAACTGGAGCTTGTTGTGAAAGCAAACACCTGCAGACGTTATCTGAAAACTTCTCAACATCATTCCTTCGCTTGTACCTAAAGGTCTTAAACTCAAGACTCGGCATCGTCTTCCAAAGAGAGCGCCATCGTTTAGACAAAACACTAGTGGCTACCACAACTTTTGTTGGAAGGGAAGACAATATTTGCACAAGCAAAGCCTCGGGCAACTCACTGATCTTGTCCTCGTTTCTCAAACTTTGACCACTGCTTTTTTTGCTGTTAAAACAATAACCCCAAAAACTTTAATCAACAAAAGAACACAACATCATGTTTTTGGATATTATAGTCTAAGAAATCATATAACAGTTGTTAAGAACCACGAGTTGGTTTTTGAGTTTCGCAGATTAAAAGTTAAGAAACCCTAAAAACATATAAAAAAACTGACCATTGCTTCATTGAAGAATTATGTGTGTTGCTGTTAAATCCTTTTGATATACGCCCTCACGAATACTTAAAACGCCTTTTCGACCTCCAAACGCAGATGGTGCTCTGGTCAATTTCGGATGCCGTAGGGAACAAGGCAGAGAAAAAGGCAGAATTAGGAGATGGATATTAGGGATTTGGAGGAAGAGGTTACGTTGCGGCTGATAATTACTAGTATTAATTAGACGTCGGATGTTAGGGTTTAGGAGGAAGAGGTTGCGGCTGAGTAGGCAGGGTTCGAAGTAACTCGGGAGGAACGTCTTTTTTGCACATTTAACCTTTTTTTTTGGTGTGACGGCACACTTAACCTATTCAAACTCAAAAAGTAATTTTTTTTTTTTCTTATAAAAACATGAACAAAACCACTTTGAATGAGTAAGATGCGGTTTCGGGTCAGATAATAAACTTGGACAAGTCTACTACTATTACCTTGAGCTCTAAGATATCAGAAACACAAATCATCAGCGAATCCTAAACATGCATAAGAGAAAAAGAAAAGAATGATCGAGTTACATCATTGGTCGAATGTCACAACAGATTGATATCAAAGATGTCGACATACTCAATGAATTTACAATGAAATTAATATGGCAATGGTAGGGTTTTAGATGGGAATGATTCTTCAACTGAAGACACACAAAAATGAGAGTGAAGGTGATACAGTGACCAGAAAGTCTGTGTTTCATAAGGGGTTAAGTGTGAAGATGTTTTGAAAGAGGATCGATTATTACAGCGAGAAACGGATCAAAACCATTACAAAGGTGGCGTGAATCCTTCGAGCAGAAGAAGCTGGCAAGATGAATTCGAAGCCCTGACCACACTTTCCAACTCCTCAAGCAACTCAAGTCTCTTGTCCGGGGTAAGGCCTTTTATGTAAATCGTTGCTCTTAGGATGTATTTGGCCACCTCTTTCTCCTCTTTTAGTTGCTTTATGTCGCCATGCCACACAAATGTCTCGAGATTGAGCAACATCACATTCTTACGCTCATTCCAGTTATCACAGGATGTATCTTTTCCACAATACCAATGCTGAGACCAACGAGGGAGAAACACTTAGTACATTGTATATTAGATTAGATCATAAACCGGAACTAAGCTAACGTATATATACTTGCAATGCTTACACCGATGAGCTTGAGGACTTGTAATTTAGGAGAAGCATCGAGCATGAGCAGAAGTAGATTCCATGGGCCACGACATCAATGATTCTTCAACTGAAGACACACAAAAGTGAGAGTGAAGGTGATACATGACCAGAAAGTCTGTGTTTCATAAGGTGTTCATATGGGGTTAAGTGTGAAGATGTTTTGAAAGAGGATCGATTCTTACAGCGAGAAACGGATCAAGACCATTACAAAGGTGGCGTGAATCTTTCAAACAGAAGAAGCTGGCAAGAAGAGTTCGAAGCCCTGACCGCACTTTCCAACTCCTCAAGCATCTCAAGTCTCTTGTCCGGGGTAAGGTATCAGAAACGCAATTCATCAGCGAATCCTAATCATGCATAAGACGAGAGTGGAGAGACGAAAAGTAGACCGATTCACCAAACAATTTGTGCATAAGAGAAACAGAAAAGGATGAGTTAAAGAATGTCACAAGAGCTAGGGGAGGGAGTAGATTTTAGATTTTAATCAAACATGTCGCTTATAGCTTAAAAAAGTGAATAAATCCTTAATAACAAATTGAAGTAACAGCATAGTTAAAACTTAAAAGTGATTTGTGAAACAACAAAAGACCACTTTTATTCCCAATTATTAATATGAAAGATTCATTCGAGCAAACGAAGCTGGCAAGATGATTTCGAAGCCCTGACCAGACTTTCCAACTTTTTGACCATCTTAATTCTCTCGTCCGAGTTAAGGCCTTTAATGGAAAATGTTGCTCTCTTCAAACGCTTTGCATTTAGTAGGGTGTATTTCACCACCTCTTTCTCCTCTTCTAGTAGTTGTTTATAGCCTTTCCACACAAATGTCTCGAGGTGAAGCAACAAACATTCAGGAACATTCTTCGGTTGACTCCATTTCACTTTCACACCATCTTTTTCATTTTGAGACCAATCTTGCTGAAGACCAATGAGGGCGAAACAAAATTAATGTACATTTTATTAGATCATTAAATCTAAAAACCGATTTTCGAACTTGCAATGCTTACACAGGTGAGCTTGAGGACTTGTAATTTAGGAGAAGCATTAAGCATGAACATAAGTAGATTCAACCAATCATCGGTCCTTGAAGGTAGCTTCAGATATACGAGCCGATAGAAGATGGTACCAGTAGGATACGTAATCTACGTATGATCGAGAGGCAGTATTTTTAATAACCAGTATATGGAAAAAAGGTAATAGTAAGTAACCGATCAAACCAATTGAAAGCAAAGCGTACCGAACTGTGTGATACCAAGCAAAGGCGTTTGACTGAAGTGAGGGATCCCAGAGTGTAATCATAGATTTTACTATAGGTGTTAATATCTGCCTCCTCCAGCTCAGGTGTATTCCCAATCATAATAGAATCAAATCCTATGTATCTTGCAACCTTCAAGTATTTTAAAGAAGGAGCCTTTATCACATAGACCACTTCACCAATGCTCTTGATTATTAGTCTCTGCAAGGACGGGACATCAATAGTGAAGATCTTCACATCCGGTTGTGTAGATTGGACAACCTCCAAATTTTCGAGATGAGAACAACCAGATAAAAGGTTGACAACTGATTCATCGTCTTTGTAACTCACCATAAGGTGTAGAGTTCTAAGAGACTTCAAACAAACTGGATATGGGACATCTATCAGAATCCGTTGATTGAGTTTCAAGCTCTCTAGTGTCTGACAGTTATACAAGCTTCTAGGAACTCTGAACAACCTCAGAGAGTGAAAAATCCGAGGGGAAACTTGGAGTTTCAATTCACGCACTTGCAGTCCAAATGCTACTCCCAGCAATATTCCAATATGATAATCCATATAGTCTTTAACATTAAACTTAATTTTGAGATGCAAACTCTGAAGAAGAAGTGAAGCTTCACGTGAAAGCAAACACCTGGAGACGTTATCTGAAAACCTCTCAAGATCATTTGTTACTTTGTAACTAAATGCAAGATTCGGCATCGTCTTCCAGAGAGAGCGCCATCGTTTAGACAAGACACTAGTGGCTACCACAAGTTTTGTTGGAAGGGAAGACAATATTTTCACCAGCAAAGCCTCGGGCAACTCACTGATCTTGTCCTCGTTTCTCAAACTTTGACCACTGCTTTTTTTGCTGTTAAAAGAAAAATCCTAAATTCAATCAACAAAAGAACACGACGACATGTTTTTGGAGATTATAGCTTAAGAAATCATAGAACAGTTGTTAAGATTCTTAAGAACCAAGAGTTGGTTATTGAGTTTTGGAGATTAAAAGTTAAGAAACCCTAAAAACATAGAAAGAATCTGACCATCGTTTCATTGAAGAATTATTATGTGTGTAGCTGTTATATCTTTATGACATACGTCACGAATACTTAAAACGCTTTTTCGAGCTCCAAACGCAGATGGTGCTCTGGTCAATTTCGGGTGCCGTAGAGAACAAGGCAGAATTAGGAGACGGATGTTGGGCCTTCGGAGAAAGAAACAGGGTACGATTAACTCGGAAGCATCCTCTTTTTTTTTGTCGTGCCCATATAACCTATTTAATTTTTGGTTTTGACTTTTGAGGCGGCACACATTTAACCTATACTCAAACACAAAAAATACATATATTTCTAAAAAAATAAACAAAATCAATTTGGTATATTCATCCTCTCTGCAATTGCAAGGCACAAGAAATACGAATCAGTAAAGCAGACGAAGCTTGACATAGATTCGTCTCTGACACACGACTATTAACTCTTTCTTTGGGAGCCAGTTAGAAGAACATATATTTTGTTAAAATCCAAAAAACCTATTAATGACTATGGTGTGGTTTAGGGCCAGATAATAAACTTGGAAAAGTCTACAACTATTACCCTGAGCTCCAAGGTACCAAAAATGCAATTTATGAGCGAATCCTAAACAAACATAAGACGAGTCGAGAAAAGAGTTACCAAACAATTTGTGCATAAGAGAATCAGAAAAGGATGAGTTGTTACATCATTGATCGTTCTTTATTGGCCAATCAAAGGTTATGAATTAGTTGAATAAATGACCAAGAATGTCTTTGATTCATAAGGTGTTAGTGTGAAGATACTTTGCAAGAGGGGATCGATTCTTACAGCGAGAAGCGGTTAAAAGTGATATATAAATCCTTAAAGTAAACAGCTAAGTCAACACTTAAAAGTGATTTGTGAAACAAGAAAGACGCTTTCATTCGAGCAGAAGAAGCTGGCAAGATGAGTTCGAAGCCCTGACAACACTTTCCAACTCCTCGGCAATCTCAAGTCTCTCGTCCGAGTTAAGGCCTTTTATGGAAAACTTTGCTCTCTTCAAATGATTTGCATTTCTTAGGATGTATTTCACCAGCTCTTTCTCCTCTTCTAGTAGTTTATTATAGCCTTTCCACACAAACGTCTGGAGATGAAGCAACAGACATTCAGGAACATTCTTAGGTTGACTCCATTTCACACCAGCTTTTTGAGACCAATATTGCTGAAGACCAATGAGGGTGAAACACAATTAATGTACATTTTGTTAGATCATTAAATCTAAAAACCTATTTGCAACAACTGTACTGAAAGATGAACTTGCAACGCTTACTTTGGTGAGCTTGAGGACTTGTAATTTAGGAGAAGCACTGAGAAAGAACATAAGTAGATTCCACCAATCATTTTTCCATGAACGTAGTTCAAAATATACGAGCCGATATAAGATGCTACCAGTACGATATGTAATCTACGTATGATCGAGAGGCATTATCATTAATAACCAGTATACAGAAAAAAGGTAATAATTGTTGGAATTAATTGAGTTTAGTCCTATAGTATTGTATGTTGCATTAAAGGTTGCTTGTAAGAGGTGTGACGGTTTGTTTAGATTGTGTTAAGACACAATTGTTTGTGTTGTTGTCTTACTATATAACCCATGTAACACGATGTAACAATTATCATTTTTCAGAACAATAAACACAATTCCTCGAAGTTCTTCTTCACAAAGAGAAGAGATAATCACTTATCTCTTACTCTGATTTTATCTTTTCTTCTTACTCTGTTTCTAAACACAATATTTCAACATGGTATCAGAGCTTTCATGGTCGTGGAACCTGTTAAAGCACAAAAATAATGAAGAGAAGTCATGTAGAATTGAAACTCAAGTAATGAACTCAAAGATTAAAGAAACTCTTCTTTATTGCTTAAGAAAACTCACTCAAAACTTAAGCTCTCAATCTCTCAATCTCTAAACTCATAAGTTATACCACAACTTGGTATCTCCTTATATAACCACACATATATCCTAATCCTATAAGAGAAACACTTTCTCTAATCCTAAACTCATTAGAACTCCTCAACACAACAGGATTAGGTTAACTTGTAGCTCAACTTGTATCTCAAGCTTATCTCAACATTTTCCCCTTTAAGCTTGAAGTCTGTCTTCTCCAAATCTTGAACACCGATGAGATCTCTCATTTCCTTGAACTTGATTCTTCCTAGTGCCTTGGTCAGAATGTTTGCCTTCTGCTTTTCTCCGGAGACATGCTCAACTTCAATTTGCTCGTTCTCCACACACTCTCGTATAAAGTGATAACGAGTGTGTATGTGTTTGCTCCGTCCGTGAATTACCGGGTTCTTTGTGAGAGCTATCGCAGACTGATTGTCGATGCGAATTAACAGCTTCTCTCGCATTGTTCCTGTTATTTCACCGAGCAAGTCTTGGAGCCAAATTGCCTGCCTCGCAGCTTCTGTCCCTGCCATGAATTCCGCTTCACACGATGATAACGCGACCGTTTCTTGCTTTTGTGAACACCACGTTATGGGACTTTCTCCTAGATAGAAGATATGGCCTGTTGTGCTCTTCCCGTCGTCTGGATCCACGTTGTGACTGTTATCACTATAGCCTATCAATCTCGGTACTCTTGAAGTGGATCTCTCAAAGGTTAGGCCGAGAGTAGTCTTTCCTCGTAGATACCTCAAACATTGCCTCATGGCAGCTCCATGGGACTCTTTTGGACTCTGCATGTATCTACTCAAGACGCCTACACAATAGCATAGATTCGGTCTTGTGTGAAGCAGATATCTAAGGCAACCAACGTTCTTTCTGAACAAGGTAGCGTTAATATCTTTCTCTTCTACAGCTTTA